CTTAAGGTTTTCATCCTCACTGATTCTCAGAGCCATCAGGGAGTCCACCCTTAATATTTGTAGCTTGTTTGTCACTAACCTAGCCACAAACATCTCGGCTAGGCCTTTCCAGGTTTTTACAGTTCCTTTCAGCAACTTATGAAACCAGTCCGATGCTATTTCCCCAAAGGGCGAGAGGAACACCTTGCAAAACAACAGCTCATTCCCGGTGTATAGTGCCATCGAGTTCAGGTACAGACCGACGTGAAAGTTGGGGTCCGACTTACCATCGTATATCTGGAACCTCAGCATACTAAACCTTTTTGGGGCCTCGAATTTGTCCAACTCTACCGAGAACGACGTTCTCGACTTAACCGGGGAGGTTATCTCGGGATTTTGTTGCTTCCTCTGGAGGTAATCCCTCAGATCCTCCTTGGTCCGTCCTAGAGCTCGGCTATCTCCGGATTTCAGCCTTTTCGATACGCTGCTTCTGGTGTCATTGTGAGTCCTCTTGGATCTCTCTCCATTAGTTGCGTTGAAACAAAGTTCATTTGCCTAAACATCCCGATGTTCTTTGGTGCAGCCCTCTTTGGCTCATCGTGTTCTCTGAGATTCTCTCCTTGTTGATTCTTCATGCCCGATCTCCCGTGAAGGCCGGTAAGAATGTCCCTTAATCCTATCGCGCTGAGGGACTGTAGGAACTATCTTCTGCCCTCCCTTCTAGGCATTATTCTTGGCCACTGGAATCAACGTGTCTCGTAATGGAAACGGTGGCTGCATGACGTTGTTTTGCATCATGAAATTGACGACCGTTTGCAGGTCTGCCAATTTGTCTGCCATTCCCTTTATCTCTTCGTCCCTCCGCAGGCATCTATCTTTCCATGCCTGGAGGTCATCCTCGTTATAATACCCGCTGTGGTCTGATTTCTTTGGTACATCGCCTTCTTTGCCAACGTCTTTCTCTCCGGGATTTGAATCCCAAGTTTCTTCGTTGCAATTACCTTCATCGACGTCAAGGTCAATATGTTTACCACTCCCAGTAGGCATGTTGTCCCCAACCTTTTCTTTCCGTCCGTCGTTGGCCATCTATTCTTCTTTTGTTCCCACAGACGGCGCCAAATTGTGTGTGTCAATTTCCGACCACACTGCCAAACAGGTACTTAGCTGGAGAACATTGGCAGAATAGATTAAGCCCGAACGACTTATCAAAAAGAAAAGATTCCGGCGATGGTTCGTCCACCCGGGGGCACTCCGATGATCAAGTCAGTTATCTCTCAAAGATAGCAAAAGTGCTTAACTCACTATTCAGAATACAAAAAGCGTCCCTTAGACCCACGAGGGTGCCTCTTTTTTATAGCCAACACTGACCTAAACCCATTAGAAGCCTAGCTTCAACAGGCTCTGGCTTAATGTCCATCCAGGACTCTCAAATAGATAAAGATAAACTCCTTAAGAGCTTTATCCTTATCCTGGTTGAAGTCCCCCCTCACTCTGTAGGAGTCTTACAACTTATCCGCTCATCTCGGATTCCGGTATCTTCGCTGATAATCTCGGCGTCATGACCAAGACACGTGGCACCTCAGCTGGCACTTCGGTGTCACCTCGGCCACGTGTTGTCATTCAAAAATTATGTCCCCACAACATCCATCATTTTTCATATGACTTAACTTTTAAGGAAGGAGTGGAAATAATTTTCAAAATTAAATAATATTTTTATGGTCTATATTTTGTCAAACTAATTTATCTTTCTTCTGAAATTGAAATCAAACAATTATTGCCTCATTTAGGAACAAGTTATTTTAATAATTTTTTGACTTTTTTACAAAAAGATGTACAGAAAAGTAAAGAGAATAATGTGATAACTTATAATAACTTTATAACTAAAAATAAAGGTCGCCAAACGAGCCTTTTGCTGCAACTTTTATGTGACAAAAAGTTCAAAACAAAAAGGGTAAATTACACTGACATTCCCTGAGGTTTATATTTATTACAGTTCCCCCCTCATCTTTTGGAAATTACATCTCCCTCCCTGAGGTTTAAAGTTTCATTACAGACTTCCCTCTCAGCAATTTAATTTTTTTAAATACCAATTTTGCCCTCACTAGGTAAATTACATTGACATCTCTCATATTTTAGAAATTACAATTCCTTCCCTAAGGTTTAAAGTAGCATTACCAATTGCCCCCTCAGTTAGTATTAGTTGGACAAAAAATTCATTGAAAAAAAATTATTTGAAAAAAAAAATTAATTGAAAAAATTTTTTGTTAGTAAAATTTTTAAATTTCTGTTTAAAAACCAACGTAAACTCATTTTTTGAATTTATGTTTTTTTCCTCAAATTTACAAACTGAGACAACAATTTTCAGCAATTTAATTTTTTTAAATACCAATTTTGCCCTCACTAGGTAAATTATATTGACATCCCTCATATTTTAGAAATTACAATTCCTTCCCTAAGGTTTAAAGTAGCATTACCAATTGCCCCATCGGTTAGTATTAGTTGGACAAAAAATTCATTGAAAAAAAATTATTTGAAAAAAAAAATTAATTGAAAAAAAATTTTGTTAGTAAAATTTTTAAATTTCTGTTTAAAAACCAACGTAAACTCATTTTTTGAATTTATGTTTTTTTCCTCAAATTTACAAACTGAGACAACAATTTATAAACCAAAAAATTTATCAAACAAGTTTTTATGACAATTTTTAAAATTTTTGTAAATATAAATTGAAAACTGAAAAAGAAATTGTTACCAAATAGGCCTCCGATGGTAAAAATGTCGTAAAATTAACAAATAATTAAATAAGTTACCAATATAAGAAATGACTTATCAAAAGATTCTTAGATTATGTATGATTTGATTTTTAAAAAATTTTTAAAAAAATTAAAAATTAATTTGGTTAAGAAATAAAAAATAAAAAATAATTATCATTTGAGGGTAAAAAATAATTATCATTTTAACTTTTTGGCAGATTATATACATACGTATGGTTGTTTCAATTTAATTTGTAAAAAATTATTTCTAACCACTCGAAAGATAAAAATTATATAAAAATGATAATTATTTTTTATTTTTTATTTCTTAACCAAATTAATTTTTAATTTATAAAAAAAAATTCTAAAAATCAAACCATACATAACCTAAGAATCTTTTGATAAGTCATTTCTTACATTGGTAACTTATGTAATTATTTGTTAATTTTACGACATTTTTACCATCTGAAACCTGTTTGGTAACTATTTCATTTTCAGTTTTCAATTTATATTCACAAAAATTTTAAAAACTGTTATAAAAACTTGTTTGATAATTTTTTGGTTTATAAATGGTTGTCTCAGTTTGTAAATTTGAGAAAAAAACATAAATTCAAAAAATGAGTTTACGTTAATTTTTAAACAGAAATTTAAAAATTTTACTAACAAAAATTTTTTTCAATGAATTTTTTTTTCCAACTAATACTAACTGACGGTGCAATCAGTAATGCTACTTTGAACCTTAGAGAGGGGATTGTAATTTTTAAAATGTGAGGAGTGTCAATGTTATTTACCCAGTGAGAGCAAAATTGATATTTAAAAAAATTAAATTGCTTAGGTAGAATCTGTAATGAAACTTTAAATCTCAAGAAAGGAGATGTAATTTTCAAAAGGTGATTGAGAGAACTGTAATAAACATAAACCTCAGAGGTGTCAGTATAATTTACCCAAACAAAAATTAAGGCCCCGTTTGTTTTCAGAGGTAGAATGGAGGGGATTGTTAGTAAGGAGATTGTTAGTGAGAGGATTGATAGTGAGGAGATTATGTAAAATTATATTTGTTTTGATGATAGTTATTAGTGTATGGATTGTTAAATTATTTTTATATAATTTAAATATAAAATAATAAAACAAATAAAAAAATACAAAAACATTAAACATTAATGTTTTAAAAAAAAATGCCCAACATGTAAAAAAAATTTAAAAAATAAAAATAAAATAAAAAATTTCCAGAAAAAAATAGAACAAATAAAATAATAATTTTTACTTAACAAAAAAAATAAAAAAAATTAAACATTAATGTTAAAAAAAAAATGCCCGACATGTAAAAAATAGAATAAAAAACTTCTAATCTGCCGGACTATTTTTCTAATACCAAGTCTTGAAGGCCTATCCGAATCCCCTTGAAGAGGTCTATCCTAATTCGGAACTCACCATCAATCCCATCTCAAAACAAACACAATATTAATAAGTTTCACCTCACTACCAATCTCAATTCCCCTGTAACCCTCCAACCAAACGGGCCAAGAGCATAAAAATTTGGGTAAAATGGAATGCAAAAATCCAGTGTACTTTGCCAATTTTCTCCTCAAACTTGTCTCCGTAACCAGAGTAACGGTATTGATGCTTTTGTTTAGAAAATCTGTAAGGCTTCTGTTTTCCTCGTAACTCCCTCCCCCTCTCTCTCTCTCTCTCTCTCGTGTTTTTGTCTCCAAGCTGTTACATTTCTGGGACAGTGCAAGAGTTGAGTCAGATGACTCAAACCCCAACCCCAGACTCCTTGGTTCTCTCACTCAACCCACCCACCCCTCCACAATTTCAAATTTGAAACCCACTCACTCTGTTTCACTCTCTAACCTCACTCCCACTTCGCTCCCGCTTCTCTCTCGCCGAGTCAGGAGTCTCTCCTTGCAAGCTTGTACTTGCGTCCGTCCTTGCAGGCTTTCGGGTCTACTTTTAGGCCCAATTTTGATAATTCGAACCGTTTATATTTTATGATTTATTCAGTATATCATACCTGTAAAAAATCAAGTTGATCGGATATCAGAAAGTATGTGTTTGAAAAATTGAACTAAACACTATTTTTTAAAGAATTTAATAAACAGTTTACCGAACATATACTTTCTGATATCCGATCAACTTGATTTTTTACAGGTATGATATACTGAATAAATTATAAAATATGAACGGTTCGGATTATCAAAATTGGGCCTAAAAGTAGACCCGAAGGCCTACAAGGACGGACGCAAGCTCAAACTTGTCTCCGTAACCAGAGTAACGGTATTGATGCTTTTGTTTAGAAAATCTGTAAGGCTTCTGTTTTCCTCGTAACTCCCTCCCCCTCTCTCTCTCTCTCTCTCTCGTGTTTTTGTCTCCAAGCTGTTACATTTCTGGGACAGTGCAAGAGTTGAGTCAGATGACTCAAACCCCAACCCCAGACTCCTTGGTTCTCTAACCCACCTACCCCTCCACAATTTCAAATTTGAAACCCACTCACTCTGTTTCACTCTCTAACCTCACTCCCACTTCGCTCCCGCTTCTCTCTCGCCTCTCTCTTTGACCGCCTCGGCGTTGTCGAAAAACCCATTTGACTGCTCCGTTTTTAAACCCCAAAAAACTCTCTTTTCATTTTCACTCAGACAATTCATCAAACACTTAAACCCCCACTCCCACAAACCATGTCCAACAATGGCGAAAATTGTGAACCCAAATCTCTCAAGGTCAGTTTTCAAGAACTCAGTATTGATGAGAGTGTCAGTACTGTTACTGGGTCTGATACTGAGGTTGAAAAAACGACTTCTTTGAATGTTGAAGTGAATAAAGATGGGGAATGTGTGGATTGTGTTGGGAGTGAGGAGAGCAGTTTGAGTTCTGTGAGTTTTTGTGATAGTGTTGATGTGAATGAGGCGAGTTTTAGAAGCTCTTGTCATTCTAAACCTCATAAAGGCAATGATGTTCGGTGGGATGCTATACAATCGGTGAAGGTGAAAGATGGGGAATTGGGTTTGGGGCATTTTAGGCTTTTGAAGAAGCTAGGGTTTGGGGATATTGGGAGTGTGTATTTGGCGGATTTGAGAGGGATGGGTTGTTTGTTTGCCATGAAAGTGATGGATAAAGGGATGCTAGCAGAGAGGAAGAAGCTAATGAGAGCTCAAACTGAGAGGGAAATTTTGGGTTTGTTGGATCACCCTTTTCTTCCTACCCTTTATTCACATTTTGAAACAGAGAAGTTTTCGTGTTTGCTCATGGAGTTCTGCAGTGGAGGGGATCTTCATATTATTCGTCAACGCCAGCCAGGCAAGCATTTTTCAGAACAAGCAGCAAGGTTGGTACTTAATTTTGCAAGTATCGTCTTCTTTTTTTATTTGTAATTTTGTTTTGTTTTGTTTATCGTTTATCACCAATTCGATTTGCATTTGTTGATTGATAACCTTATAAGAACTAATTAGGAATTTTTTCTGATAGATTTAAAGAAATGGAGAAGTGAAACTACTCATTTGTTTTTTAAAATGGCAACTGTCGGTGAATGAACGAAAGCTGTATATATTTGTTGATGAAATTCTAATTCTCTGTAATTATCTTTTTCAATAAATGGGAAGGGTGTGGATATGACCAATAATGTTGGCATCAGTTGCAAAATGTGGTATCATCAACAGATTCACCTATCCCCTAGTCATTATCCTTTGTACATTGGATATTTCTCAAAACTTTTAATCAAGAATATAATCCTTGAATAATTCACAAGGGTTTGTAGCAAGTTTCAATTTGATTTTTAATAAATTTTGCTTTTTTTTTCCTTGTAGGTTTTATGCTTCAGAAGTGCTTCTTGCCATGGAGTATCTGCATATGATGGGTGTGGTGTATAGGGATTTAAAGCCCGAAAATGTTTTGGTTAGGGAAGATGGTCATATTATGCTCTCTGATTTCGATTTGTCATTAAGATGTTATGTGAGTCCCACCCTTGTTAAGTCCACCACTGAGCCAGCTTGTACGATATCTTCATACTGTATCCAGCCATCATGCATTGATCCAGCATGCAAATTACCCGTTTGCATAGAGCCTCCTTGTTTCCAACCCTCTTGTTTTAAGCCCCGGCTTTTCAATTCTAAAACAGCAAAGGCGAGAGGTGAACGAACAACTTTGATAAATTCAGATTCACTTCCTATGCTTATTGCAGAGCCAACTTCTGCACGGTCCATGTCATTTGTTGGCACACATGAATACTTAGCCCCTGAGATAATTAGAGGAGATGGCCATGGGAGTGCTGTTGATTGGTGGACATTTGGTATTTTCTTGTATGAGTTGCTACATGGGAGGACACCATTTAAAGGCAGTGGAAACCGAGAGACATTATTCAATGTTGTTGGCCAGTCTCTGAAATTTCCCGAGGGATCAACGATTAGTTTTGCAGCAAAAGATTTGATCAGAGGTCTGCTTGTGAAGGACCCACAAAAAAGATTGGGGTACAAAAGAGGTGCAACGGAGATAAAACAGCATCCCTTCTTCGAAAGTGTTAATTGGGCTCTCATTCGCAGTAATCAACCTCCAGAGATCCCTAAACCTGTTGATTTATCATTCTTTAACCAAACAAACAAGTCATCCCTGCCCCCTAATGACAAAGGAGCTTCTGACTCGGATAGATCATCAGGTCCTTACTTAGATTTTGAATTTTTCTGATGGATTTTGGAAGGAGAACAATGTAATGTTCCTAGAAATGGGTTCATTTCCCCTGCTTGTTTGTAGTAATAATCCCCAATGAATTTTTATTTTAGTGAAAGAGCTTTTTGTTCTTTCCATCAAATTTTTGTTGTGAGATTGTTTTACTCTCTGGTATGCTTTTGAGCAGTGATTGGAACGATGCGAAGGAAAAGGGAAAAAAAAAACATCACTTTTGTGAATCAAGAAGTAAAGGAATCAAAAAAGAAACATCTTTTCTGCAATTTGCTTTTTCTTTCTTAGATTTTTTTGTGTTTTTAGAGGTGGGGATTTCTGTTCTGAAGGCAACCCTCTACTGTTGTTCTCAATCGCTTTTCAAAAACTTTTGTTTTGCATTGTTCACAGTTTGTCTAAAATCAGGATGGACCCCATATTCCCTCTAAAGCTTTCTTTGTAGATGAGCAAAAAGAAAATATGATATTGACAAATCATGATAAAGTTTTGATAGTAGTGTTGTTCAACCATGAATGTGAATGCATTGGCAATGAAGAAGTGTAGTAGTGTCATGTCAACCCAAGCTTTATTTCTTTCTTGCATACATGCTTTTGTGTTTGTTTGTGATTCTGCTCCATTGAATTGTTCCAAATGATGCTTTATTCTTCTGCACTCTCACAGGCTTTTCTCAGGATGATATACTTTCACTGCATGCATTATGTTCTTTTCCTAATTGCTGTTAGTGAACTCAGGGCTTCTTGATACGAGTATGCCTTTGCCAATCCTCCTCAGCTGCAGCCGCATGCAGTGCAGGTGACATTCATTCCCCTGTTCAGGATGAAATTAAAATAAAAACGGACAAATTACACTAGTAGTCCGTATACTTTGGCTCATGTCATTTTGCTCCTTATAATTTTAATTGGTTCGATTTTGATTCTAAACTTATGGTTTTGTCTCAATTTGTTTTAATTCATTACAATTTGTAGTGTTTATATATATATATATATATATAGAAAATGCACACACAAGCGACATGTCTTCCTTTTTTAAGTAAAATTATAAATTTGTTTAACTTAGTGAGTTAACCCCAACTAACTTAGTAACTATTTTTCTTCAAAAACCCACATTATCAATTGAACTAAATTGACACGGAATCTAAAATTAAAGATAAAACTCAAGTTAACTGAAAAGTTAGAGACCAAAATAACACAGAAGACAAAATACAGAGACTATCAATTTAATTTGCCCAATAAAAACATTTAAAAAAAATATTTATCTTTTTCAGTATTGTTTTTTATAGTAAAAATTTTTATATTACGAGCCACAGCAATAAACCAAAAAGACCAAAACTTGTAAATGCATACACTAAATATTCATCCATTGCATGTCTAATACATCAGCGAAAAATGTGCGTAGTGAGAGAAATTTCATCACTGTATTCTCCCCACGTGAACATAGAACACAGTTGCAATTGGTTAACTTTTTGTTTGAAAATTTTTCAAAAACTAGTTTGACCAAAAACAAATTCAAAAAAAAATTATAACTAATTATTTTTAAAGAAAATTAGTGAAATATCCCTCTCCAACTTTGTATAGTAGGAAAGATCTAAGATTTTTTTTTTTATTAGCCTCTCAATATTTTTACAGAGAAAATTCGATTCAGAAAAATTTCACTCGATTCAGATAAATTTTGGTCCCAACTCAGAGAAATTCTGAAATTTTTCTAGTATGATCACAAAAAAATTTTGAAATTTCTTTGTAACTTTAAATAAAATCTTAATATCAAGGACTTTAAATAAAATTCCCCTTATTTTTATATAATTTTTTTATTATTGGGACATAAATAATTTTAGAAAATTTAAAAATACCTTTTTAGCATTTATTTTTTCCAAACTAATTTGAATTTTTTTTGAAAACATATTCTGCACATATTTCCACCGTTTATGGAAATAAATTATTGTGATATATGCAATTAGGAAAATGAGCCGTAGCTCGAAAATCTTGGCTCGAAATTGGCTTGAATGTCGTTTTGGGTGGTCTGAAACAGAGGAGAAAGAGGGAGAGAAGAGAGGAAGAAGGGAGAAGAAGAGAAAGAGGAGGGGAAGAGGGAATGGAGAGAAGAGAGGGCCCCTCCGCTTCTACCGTCGGCCGAGCCCCTCTGCTTCGTCGCAGCACCAGCGATCGTCGCAGCACCACCGCCGTCGCCTCCGGTCCCGCCGAGCCCCTCCCCTTCGTCGCAGCACCACTGTTGTCGGCCGAGCCCCTCCCCTTCCTCCTTCCTCCTCCTCCTCCTCCTTCCTTCTCTTCTCCATCTCTGCTTCTGAAATTGGGTTCGAGCCAATTTCAAGCTCGACAATTCGAGTTACGTAGCAGTTCCGATGCAATTAACTCTTAAGGTTCATTTGGAAATTGGTCAATTTATATTTTTTGACTTTTTATATAAATATATATATATGTAGAAAAATTTTGAAAATAATTTGATAATTTATAATAATTTGTTAACTTTTTAATTAAAAATCACATTTTACAAACATAACCTTAATAGAGCCCTTCTTAAAAAGCAATTAATCTTGGCCAAAAAATATCTCAAATTGACTGAGCCAAGTCGTGGTCCGTAGCCGACTTGCACTTATTCATACCTCAGCGTTGTGGCCATTGCGGGACCGCACATAATTTCTTAATTTTTTTATTTGATTTTATTTTTTTGTAAAAATAATAAATACAGCAGTGGATAATTCTAGTATGGATATAAAATGTGTTTTAAAAATAATATATATAAATATATAAAATTATATAAAGATATTAAATATATATGTACGAGCACGAAATAATCTTCTCGTATAATCCTGTTGATCAAGTTTGCACTCCTCCAAACGTCGTCGCTTTACTACTTGAAACGCAAACGTGAGCTAGCCAGCGGGTGTGTGCCGAATACCTCTCCGATGTCTAAGTCAGCAAAATAGACAAATAGACAAAAGACCTGTGTATTCGGGAATCAAAGTTGTATTACCTGTACTTCGGTTATGTTGTGAGCTTTTATAGTTTTTGTCTGGCACAATCCTATTCCTCCATGTAAAGTCCTCCTAGGAATCACACTCCTGAAAGATAATACTTATCCTTCAACACGCCCTCACTGCTTAAACCAAGTGAGATGGTTTTACCACGGTTGGATAACAGTATGACCGAGCTAACACTAGCCCTTTGTCATACTCAATCCAACGCCTTCATATGCAGCACATAGCTCAGCTCTTTGTTCCCTTGTACCTCGGTTTTGTCTGTTTAGACCGAGCTAACTGCAGCAAGCTTCGACCGAGCTAATAAGAGCAAGGTTCACTTTAAGGAGCCAAAACGCTTCAGCTCCGAATACTATGACCGAGCTATTATAACCACTCCGGCCGTGGTGACTGTAACAATGTTTGGACCGAGCTAACAGCGAGACCCAATCTAGTAAGCCCTTTTCACCACGGTCCATAGAACGGCCCATTACTACGCCTGAGCCTTGCTCGGCCCTAATGCAAATAAAAACTCCCCCTCAATATATATTAAAATCTTAATTTTTTATTATTGTTTACACCTTAACCAAGGTCTTATTTATTCATACTTCAGTGTAAAAATCAAAATTGGTGATTTTCGTTGTGGCTGGGACCACGCGTAATTATTATATTTATAATAAAAAGAATACTAATCACAGTTCGTCAGATATAGATAAAACTTGCTATGTATGCTCTTCAAAAAAATAAAATAAATAATAAAACTTCCTATGTATGCAAAATATATACTAAAATATATATATGTATATATATAAATATATTGAAGTCTTAAAAAAAAAAAAATCATTCTCTGTACATACGGGGGCAACTAGTTCATTTTGATCAAGGTTATTTAGCATAAAATTGAACATTTCAATTTTGTTAATTGAGGAATCCAAATTGTCGTACATATGATGGTTTGAGTTTGTCGATTTTTAATTTCAACAATGACCCGGACCCCCTTTCCCCTCCCACCTCCTTGACCCCTCTCAACATGATTAGTCAATTTTTTTTTTTTCTTTTTCTTTTTTTCTTTCTCCTTCAATCATCACCCGCCACGTGTATGTGTGGGGGTGGTGGGAGTTGTGATTGGAGGGAGTCTCAATCATGACCCTTTTAATTTAGAATCAAATATAAAACTTTTAAAATTTAATAAAAATTTATAGAATCATATACTGAAAATTATTAAAGAGAACTGCATGGAGAAATGTCTCCTTTTAGGATTGTTTTAGAATCTGCTAAATAAATTAATTTTTTTACTTATTACGAACAATGTATCAAAAAACAAAGAGATAATGTGACCAAATAAGTCAAAAAAAAAAAAACTAATAAACTAAGCCTTAATGTTATATTGTAAAATGTGTATCATTGATGATTCATATTTTAATACTAAAAGAAATAGAATATAACAGTATTAAAATATAGGTCATGTTGGGTTTGATTTCCAAAAATTTGTTTCAATTTTTTTCTAACAAATTAGAAATTAATTTGGTAAAATAAATAAAATAAATAAATAAAATACTTATTATTTTTACATAATTTTATCTTTCGGGAGATCATAACTAATTTTGAAAATTTAAAAAATATTTATTTGATATTTATATTTGTATTAAATTAGTTTATATTTTTTTTTATACATCTGAAAAATTTTCTCTCAAAAACAAACCAAATAAGGTCGTAATGTTTGAATCAATTCAGTCTACATCTATGTTAAAAAAATAAAATAAAATAATTGAAACAAATAATACCTTTTTGAAAAACAAACTAAAATTTAAAATTTGGAAATATTTTAGACTAAAATATAAAATTTCGAACTATTTTAGATGATCAACTAGGTTTTGTTAATTTTTCTTGACAATTCTAAAACTGTATTTGGTTTATTAATTTAGAGGGGGGAAAAAAGAAAAATTTGTGTGAAATATAATTATATTGCATTTATATTTTACCATATTTTCCTTTTTAAAACTCTATTCAAATCTTTGAACCAAAACACAACATAATCGTATGCAAAATTAATTTTTAAAATACATATAATTTCTCATCCCACATATATCTAAAAAAAATTTGGTCTCATTTTTTAAAAAGACTTTAAAAAAAAGTGAAAAATGAAATTTCATCCATTAATCCATCCATTATTCTATCTTTTAGGTTGTATTTGGTTTATGAATTTGAGAATAAATTTGAAAGAAGGAAGAAAAAATATATGTATTTTCTAAATTCATAAACTAAATATAATTTTAAAATTCGAACACAAAACTTTGCAAAAATAAAAAACAAAAAAAAAATCCCATCCAATTAAAATAATATATATACATGATCACGAGATATTTTCTGTGTCTGCGGGAGTAATACTAGAGATTTTAAAAATTCTATCAAAGTTTCTACCAAAAGTTACACATGGGTATGAAACTCACACAATATGAGTCACATGTGAGTCTCACACCTATGTGAGATATTTGATAAAATTTTTAATTAAATTTTTGAGATATTTAACATTTTTGGTTTGCGGGGTCGTGTCTGAAAATATAGACAAAATACAAAGTACATCGATTTTGTCACGAAAAGTTCCAATTACATCCACCAATGTCTCCAAAATCAGAATTCAAAATTGGCCTTTTCGATGCAAAAGAATAAAATTAGAAGACAAATTTTGAAAGAAAAAAAAAATACAAATTTAAAAAATAGTATACCTTGGTACTGCAATTTTGATGTTGTTTCTGATTTTTCTTGTGATAACAATAAAAAATAACAAATTTGTACAAGCGAGCATTTTTTTTAAATTTCATGTAACAAAAATGACTTGGCTCATTTTCTTCTAATTAATTGATGACAATGATCACCAATATACACTTGTCGATCTCATTTATAAATCATTTTTTTTTTATTTTCACATAAATTTCTGTGAACAAAAACATTGCGAATCGGATTGCAAGAGAAAAACACATTTATTTCGTTCTACAATATGAATTAGTTTAACGAGTATATAATTAACACTACAAAAAAATTAATTTTTTGCGACGGTAAAATGCCGTCGCAAATACTCAAAATGCCGTCTCAAAAGGTTTTTTGCGACGGTAAGTGGCCTTTTGCGACGGCACGGGGGGGTCGCAACAGAGGGGGTTGCAAAAGGGTTTTAGCGACGGTATAACGCCGTCGCCTTTGGTTTGCGACGGCAAAGAAGCCTTTTTGCGACGAAAAAATGCCGTCGCCATTAACGCGTGAAAATCTGACTTTTTTTGAGACGGCATTGTTTTGCCGTCGCTAAAAGGGGTATTTGCGACAGCACAAGTACCGTCGCTAAAGGGTTATTTGAGACAGCACTTGTTGCCGTCGCTAAAGTTCTATTGGCGACGGCAAATTACACCGTCGCTAAAAGTCATCATTTTCAACCAAATACCTTATCTTTTGCGACAGCATTACTGCCGTCGCAAAAAACCCCTATTTGAGACGGTGAATAGGCTGCCGTCTCAAAAAAATAATAATAAAATAAAATAAAAAATAATTTATATATCATATTAGATAGATATATGTGCTTGTGTATATGGTATAATAATTTTTTTTTTTTTTTTTGCCTTTCTAATGATGAAATTCGGATTCCATCCCTATATATACATTATCAAAATACCTTAAAATTGATGAGAAATAATGAAATATTGAAGAACTTTGGCGACAAGAGAACTGCCCAAAAAAACATTTTTTGTTTGTCCACTTTTAAGCTACTGTAAATACTATTTGCGATGACAGAATAACCGATGCAAAAGAAAACAAAGATTTAGTCAGTGTACATTTTCTTTAAAAGGAAAATTTACATAAATTTAAGTATATAGTTAGTAAAACAAAAGAAAGTACATTAATTAAATGAATGAATGAATGAATCTCAGGTTCTGATTCTGAAGGAGGTTCTTTATTATAATTCCATTCATGCCCTTTCCATTCAGGCAGTTGTTGGATCACAACCTGCAGAACAAAAACAACAATTATATTTAAAATAAAATAAAAATAATTATAATAATATCATTCATGTGGGGGATTGTTGGAAATGGTTATAAATTCTGGGTAAAACCAGAATTTTTTCTCAAGTTTGGTCTATTTTTTAGGTGGGCCCCGAGTGTCGATTTACTCGGGTCAAAGTGGTAACGCGTTCTATGCCGCGTTGTGATTCACGTGGTATATTTGGTTGCTCAAAACCATTACCGAGTGAATGGGAAATTGAAGCCAAAGTGTGCTCCATGGAAATGGAGATTTGGTGAAAATTCCTTAAAGGTTGTAAATTGGCTTGTCCCACATTGATTTGGTGGGAAGTTTTGAAAGGGTTTATAAAGCTTGGGTGAGATACTTAGGGTGTGCCCCAAGGGGTACCCAAGTGTTTTAGAGAGAGAGGTTATGGGCAAAATGGGCTAGACCCATTGGACCCAAAAATCACCACACACGCACGCGCGCCGTCACCACCGTCCGTCTGGTTGGGTTGGGCTTCTAATCTTTTTGGGCCAAAAACATTTGAATTTAATTTTATTTTTTGATAAAATAAAATTCAGAATTCAAATTAAATTGATTTGGATTTTCTGTACATCCAAACAGGGCCCTTCCCGTTTTCAAACAGAAATAAACTAGTTTGGAATTAGTGCACACCCAAACAGGGCTCTTCCCGTTTTTGCTATCTGTTTGAATTGTTAACAGATTCAAATCTGTTTGAATTCAAAACCAACAGGTATCATACCTGTTTAATTTAAAACCAAGAGCCACCTTTACATCTATAAATAGGACAACCCTCATTTGATGTTATTTTTTCAGAAATTTCGTATTTTACCTCTGCTTATTCTATTCTTCATTTTGTTGCATTTTATTTCTGAAAGAAAGAAGAAAGAGTATAAACACTTAGTGTGTTCGTAAGGCAAACAATTAGTAGTGCTGCTATTGTTTGTGGTAGATCATTTCATCCTGGGAGATAGACGTCCGAATTCTGAAAGCACCGTGGAGAGGACGAATCTGTCTTAAGGACACAGTGTCAAACACTGGACTTGATCAGAAAATAATTCAAAGAAATTAAATCAAGTAAGTTATTTAATTTATTTTCAGTGTTGTTTTATTTATTAAATCAGATTTAAATTTTGTTTTTGTAACAAAATAAAATCTGTTATTTATTTATTTATTTATTATTTCGAGTTTGATTTTTATAATCAAACAAATTCTCTCCTTTTTCTTTATTTCTTTAAATTCTAATTATTATTATATACACAATAAAATTAAATTTTTTAAATACAGTGAAAATTGTCCAACATTTAGTTTTGCTCGGCCAAGTTCAAAGACTCAGTTCATGACCGAATATGTTGTCACCAGATGGTACAAGACACCTAAGCTTTTGTTCAACTCTTCATACTACAATGCGCTATTGGTGTATGGCTTGTGGGTTGCATCTATAGAGCTTATGAATAGAAAGCCTTTACTTGCGGGTAAAGACCATGTGCATCAGTTGCACTTATTAATAGAGGTACGATGAAATTAGATCTAGCTAATTATGTTCTTAACCTTTTTTGCAAACATGGAACATGATTAAATGCATGATGTAATTTTAAAAGAGCAAATAGATTGTTGATTAGGCATAAATGTTTCTATTATCTGTGTTCCCTATGGGACACCCCAACAAGATTACGTTGCATTCTCCCAATAAAGATACTCAAGTTTGAGTCTCCTTGCCTTACCTATAAAAAAATTATTTAAAAAAAAAAAAAGTTGATTATTTGCTTCTAATTGATTTATATTACAGGAAATGTTTTGCCTAGTAAATATCACTACAATAATAGCTCTATAGTAGCAGTTTCTCTTACATGATTTTTCTCTGTAATTTGGTGTTAGAAATTTAGTATTGGTGATGTGTAAATTTTTCTCTGTGATGTGTTCAGAGAAATTTAGTATTAGAGATGTAAAAAAATTTCTCTGTAATGTGTCCAAATAAATTTGTTCGATAGGTAAATTTGTGCATGATGAAACCAGAGAAATTTGGTGTTGGAGATGTGTAAAATTTTATTTGTGATGTGTCCAGAGAAATTTGGTGTTAGTGATTTGTAAAAAAATTTCTGTAATGTGTCCAAAGAAATTTGGTGTTAGAGATGTGTAAATTTTTCTCCGTAATGTGTTAAAAGAAATTTTTCCTGTGATGTATAAAAAAAAATTTGGATCGAATTTTCTCTTGATCAATATTGAGAGACCTTAGACATTATGAAAATATTGAGAGTATGTTTGGTTTGGTTTTGGGTGAGTAATTTTTAAAAATTATTTTGGGGAGAGAATTTAGAAATTTTTTTAGTTTGTTTGGTTGTGTATTTTGAAAGCAATTTTGGAGTTTGGGAGTTTAGAATGATTTGATATTTTGTTATAATTGAGTAGATGTGTATGAGAGAAAAAGTGATTGAGAATGAGAGAAGAGAGATAAAAAATGATTGATTGATCGGTAAGAGAAAGGAAATGATTTTGGAAATTGTTTTGAAAAATTTACAAACTGAACAAATTTTTTAGAAATTTTTTTTCAAAATCACTCTACAAATCCAAATCAAACATATCATGAGTGTCCTTTATATTATAAAATTTTAATATCAAGAACCTTAAAAAAAAAATCTCCTTATTTATTTGGGAAGTGTTTTTTTTAATGACTTTTTAAATAAAATATGAGATAAAAAAAATTAAAGTATTTAAAAATAATTTTTTGACTTTTTACTAAATTATATCATCTATTGTAAAAAATAAATATGATAACATTATAATATTATTATTTTTGGGATTAATTTATATATTTATTTATTTGGGATTTTTATTTTTATAAATCATCTATATATATCATCCGGGTAGGACTTATTTTGGGTCTCACGGGTCAAATAACTCGATTATGGAATAAAATCATACCATACAATATAACGAAATTATAATTTAATAGAAATTTAATTAAAAAAGTTTTATATTAATAATAAATTTTATAAATCTTAATGATTAAAATCTTAATTTTTTTATAAAAATTATTTTCCGAGACACCAAAAATGAGGAGAGACAAAAACGAACCCCGGGTGTACTTCTTGACGTCTTTCTTTGTGTTCTCATTTTTTCTCTCTCCAAGAAAATGCCTACACTTTCTTTCTCGCCAAACAAACAAAAAGCCAATAAAAACGCCTCTATTTCCCATGTTCGTCGATTGAAGAGCGAAAATTTACGGAGGCAAGCACATATTTTTCTCATGGATTCTCGCGTTTTCTTCGCACTTTCTCTCTGTCTCCTCTCCTTCTTCCCTGATCTCGCCCATTCTTCTGCTCATCGGTGGTTCGGAGACAAGAACACGTATATATATATATATATATTCACAAATCTCTCTCTTATATGTCGTTAAATCTCTATTGAAGATCATAGATCATATCTGTTTTTGTTGTTTTTCAGAGAAGGATCGGTGATTAGATTGAAGTCTGATGTTTATGCTTCTCCGTTAGATCCAAGTCGGGTCACCCAAATCTCTTGGCGTCCCAGGTCCTATTCTCTCTCCTAAATCGATTCTTTTGCGATTTCATCTCAGCATTTTGTGTTCATTGTATTTTGTATGGTGGTGATTTGGATTATGCAGGGCTTTCCTTTATAAGGGTTTTTTGACTCATGAAGAGTGTGATCATCTTGTTCAACTGGTTAGATTTTACCTCCTATATTTATACCTGTTCATTGATTTAATTACAGAGTTTATCCTTTGTTTGGTTGCGGGGAAAATGTAGGATAAATTAAAATTCTTGATCTTTGAAAAAACAATTTTGTATCATTTCTCTATCTCAGCTACTAAAGAGGGTTGGGGAAAAAGTGTTTTTAATTACTTAAAGTCAATACATTTTCTGAATTTGGAATCTGGGTGAGTAGGCCAAAGATAAGCTAGAGAAGTCCATGGTGGCTGACAATGAATCGGGCAAGAGTGTAGAGAGCGAAGTTCGTACTAGCTCTGGCATGTTTCTTAACAAGGCCCAGGTTAGTTAAACTTTTATTCATATTGAATTTTTAAATTAGTTAAAATGATTTTTGCAATTCGGTACAATTTTGGAGTTGTATAATTTTGATCTTGTACTAATTATGATAGGTTAAATATTAGAAAATATTAGTACTGTATGAAAAATACAAATTCTGCTAGTTGTTTCTGATTTTATGCTTATACAATTGCATGTTTATCTGTAATGTTTGATGAATGCTTTGATAAAGGACCCTTGAATGTTTTTTATCCCGATGATATGAGATGTTCCGCCTTTACTACTGTTATTATTATTATTGTTTTGAACAAATCAAACCATTTGTAGGATGCAGTTGTGTAAAAACCTTTTGCAGTTGGGAAACAGGATCTCTGCTGGACTAAGCTTTAAATCCTTCTTATATTGTTCCTTTTTGTTGATCAATCAGTTAGTACATCATCTGAACCTGTTGTATTTGTAGACAAAAAGTAACTTTCAATAGGCTTTGGGCCATCATTTGATAAAATAGAATTCATGATAAAATTATAACCATCATCCATCTTTTTTCATTTGCATTTGAGCCCCCTTCTCTTTCACCTCTGTAATACAGTATTCTTTATGTAATGAAGATCTATGAATTTAAAAAGAAAAAAATATTCAATGACTTGTGTTAAATTGTCATTATTGAATCAAACAATGCCCCAGGGGTACTTGTTAGAGCATTTTCCTCATAAAAAACATATTGTCAGCATTTCTATATGTAAATTACCGAAATGAACTGACAGACAAAAAGCATATTGTAGCCATCAAGTTGTGCATTTTCTTATTGCATGTTTCAACCTAAGATTTTGGGTTTGAAGTACAGTCACCAACTTAGTCGTTGAGGCCTATCCATTAGGAAATTTGCTAATGGTATTTGAGTTTCATGTTAATTGTTTCAATTTAAATTGGTGTGATTGGAGGCACTTTATGCTTTGTCTATTGAGCTTTGTTTGTGGTATTGACTTGTTTAGGCTGAACACCAGTAAGAGAAACCTAGATGCTTGTCTCATTTACAAAATCAAATCAATTCAATGAAAAGAATATAAATTGGGTTGAAATAAACCAACCATAATACCACCAGGGTTGGTGGCCTGGTGGAAGGATGCAGCATGTTCCCCAGCCGAGACCCAGGTTCGATTCCTGAGAGCAGGCTGTTTGTTATCTCTATGGAGAGCTCGCCCTTTACTCCCCTCGTTCCTGGGCTCTGCTGCGGCGTGTGTCTGCCCTCCACTGGTGCTCTGGTGGTGGGTCCCTCACTTGGTGAGGGTTAATTCCTGGCTGGCAACCGGTTACCCCGGGGCCAAGGCCCACAGGGGCCATGATGACACCACAGAGCCCTTTTTTTGTTTGCTCAAAAAAAAAAAAAAAAAAAACAAACCAAATCATGTTAATTGTTTCAATTTAAATTGGTGTGATTGGAGGCACTTTATGCTTTGTCTATTGAGCTTTGTTTGTGGTATTGACTTGTTGAGGCTGAACACCAGTAAGAGAAACCTAGATGCTTGTCTCATACAAAGTCAAATCAATTCAATGAAAAGAATATAAATTGGGTTGAAATAAACCAACCATAATGGAAGCTCATTGATCCTAATCTGTCATGTTTCAATTCAAGTATCCTCCAGAACATGGCAACTGAATTTTGTGTGCTGCCCTTGTATTCCTTCTAGAGTTTAATTAGCAAAATCTTTGTAAGGGAAGGTTTTTATACCATTAACCTGTAAGGTTAGTAGTATTTATAGTTTGGTAATGTTGGTAGTAGTGGTAGCAAGAGTAATTTATTACATCCAGTGGAAGAACAATCCATAAATTGGAGCCATCTAGGCTACTCTCAATAAATATTCCATCAATCCATTTTTTTTCCCACAAACATAAAATTAATGAGCTATGATAGTCCACATTACATGTAAATTATTTCATCCAAATCCACTAGATCTTAGAAAGCAATTGAAAGCTTCAATGATATGGTTACAAGTTATAGACAGAATATCAATCTTTTAGGAATGCTCCCTCTGCCTCAAAATAATAGCAATGGTACGAGGGAACTAATGGAGTTGAGTGATTACTGCTACATATTATTTAAGCAATGAAGAAACTTCAACTATTGATTATGATGGAGGATCATCGATTCTTAGTGAGCAAAACTGTATTCTTGTTTGGTTAAATGACTAGGTCAAAATGTTTTGTTGTAACCATTTTGAAAGTTGCAAATTAAACACATTCTCTTCAACATGTATTATAAGTTAGCTTTAAATTGTCTAAAATTGGAAAGTTACTTGCTGTCCCTTGCTTATCTTTCAAGGATGAAGTAGTTGCTGGTATCGAGGCTAAGATTGCTGCTTGGACCTTCCTCCCTCCAGGTAAATTGTTAACCTAGCTTGGTGTCAATGAGCTTCACATCTCATTGTATAGGAAAGATTCTCATAATCCACCTTTACCTAATGCTGTGATCAGAAAATGGGGAGGCCATGCAAATTCTGCATTATGAGCATGGTCAGAAGTACGAACCCCACTTTGACTATTTTCATGACAAGGCCAATCAAGAATTGGGTGGGCACCGGGTAGCCACTGTACTTATGTATTTGTCTGATGTTAATAACGGTGGTGAAACAATCTTCCCTGATTCAGAGGTATATAATATTTACCGATTTTGTGGTTCTTACATTTTTGTTCTGCTCTCTGGGGCTATAAGCTAACTACTTGCTTTTTACTGTCTACAGGGTAAAGATACTCAACTAAAGGAAGATAACTGGTCTGACTGTGCTAAAAATGGCTATGCGGGTACAATTGCTTTTGTATATTTATTGTCTACAGATGTAGTCTGTTTATTTGCTTCTCCATGTTCAAACTGTTTCCACAAAGTAATATTAGGGGTGTAATTTACACTTCCACCCCTTTAGTATGAGCTTTTTCTCACTTTGGTCCCCATAGATGAGATTAACTCACTTTAGTCCTAATTATCAAACTCTTTCCACTTTGGTCCAACTTCTAACAACCATTGTACTTTTATGGCGCCATTTTTCTACGTTGTTCCTTAAAAGAAGGGATTTTTCCACTTTGGTCCACAACAATAAAATAATTGTCTAACTCAAATAAATAAAAAAATCACATCATCTACTAAAATGTTATCTGGCAGCACTTGAACTTAATTCTTTTAGGGACTGTAGTGGTTAAAAGCTGGCTTTTTGGGCTTTTTTTGAAAAAACATGTAAAAATATAGAGAGATGATGTGATCCAAAATAGGTTAAAAGTTGGAAGATGGCTTTTAACCATCTTTCCAAAAGAGGCCTGAGATATAGTTAAATCCAAGATATGCAGTCTAGGATTTCCTGCATATTTCATCAAAATCTCATATTTGTTTTTCTTTTTTTGCAGTGAAACCTCACAAGGGGGATGCTTTGTTGTTCTTTAGTCTTCATCTTGATGCAACTACTGACCCATTGAGCTTGCATGGGAGCTGCCCTGTCATCGAAGGTGAAAAGTGGTCTGCAACCAAATGGATTCACGTGAGGTCTTTCGAGAGAATAGTAAAGCATGCAAATGGAAACTGTGTCGATGAGAATGAGAACTGTGCTCAATGGGCTGCCGCTGGAGAATGTAAAAAGAATCCAATCTATATGGTGGGGTCCGATGATGGGCCCGGAGCTTGTAGGAAAAGCTGCAAGGTGTGCTCATAGTAGGTGTCATCCTTTTTGGCCACATTCATGTTGATTTTGTATTACTAAATGAGTTGTCTAGGTTGTTGTATATAATAGCATTGAACTGTTCTTCCAAACCCAATTAAAGAAGAGTTAAAAAGTTGTATCGGAGAGTGGAGGCATTGATAAATTTATGCTAGTCTGAACTTTTGTACTCGCTGATATTTTTCACCGTTCATTGATCAGATAGTGAAGCATGATGCTGTCGCCTGATAATGGAATTTGAAATAGTTTTGTGAATGATTGGAATTTAAAGTTTTAAGACTTGAATCAAATATGGTCATTACCTGTTTTGGGACTTTGGTTTTTAGTTAAAAAGCTATTGCAAGTTATCATATCACTCTTCTTATTTTTTTATGTATATTTTCGTAAAAAATTTAAAAAAATCAACAAAAATAATCAATTTTCAAATGGGGACTAGCAAGAGAAGAATTTGCTTTGCAGCATAAGGTGCAACATTTGATGCTTTTCTTTTTCTCTGTCCTGTCTTTCCAAGCATTTTCTTTTCTTTTTACCTTGTTGCTGGATGGATATTTGTTTCTCAAAATTAGAGGGAAACTACTGCAATGCCAATCTAACAAACATGCAATGTTGTTGCCATTTTTTCAACCATGAATCAAATTGTTACAAGAAACTAAGCAATTTGAGATTAAGAAGTTGGCTTGGTGGATGTGGCTTATGCTTGTTCAATGGTTGGTTCCGTAAGTTCTATGTCGAATAGTTTGGCCTGAAGCTCCTGTGAAGAATCCTTGTTCTGCCATTGTTTTGATGAATGTTAGGCTTTTTTAACAATCTGTTTTCTGTTTGATAATGACTCTAAATCCACAAGCCCCCCTCTCAGATCCTCTGGAAAAATCACCCGCCTCCCAAACACTGGAAAGCGAATTGGATTACGCAAGAATTTCAAAACCCAAATGTCAGTATCAGATTCAGAAACTTCTTTTAGTCTCAATGGAACTTTGAAAAACCGGCATGAATAATGAGAAATTCCAAGACAAGTCCTTCAGTAACAACAATTAATGGGACAACGTGGAAACTATCCAATTCCAACCACATTTCTTGACTCCATTTTCCTCTTCAATCACTTCATCATCTTCTTTTCAATCTCGGGTTCTAGTGACACCGTCTTCTTCTCCCTCTGTAAGTAGTTTTCAAAAAATTTATAAAAAAAAATTGATTTTTTTTTTTTAAATGGGTATTTTTTAGATAAAATATTCCAGAATAATTTTCAAAAATAACTTGCCGAACAAACAATTTTTTTAATCTATTAATTTGTACAAGAAGAGCACACTGAATCTTACTGACTTATTTTTCTCTTTTCCCAAATTCGCTCCCTACCACACGATGAGTCTCTAATTTTGATCGTGTAATAAAGAGAAGATTTGAAATAGAAAGACATGAGAAACTCTAGTTAGAGGATTCAGTCTCCCGAAAATAGACAAAATAATTAGTAACAAACATCTATATTTAGTATTAATTGACTATACAACTAAATTTAAAAAATCTCATGTCTCTCACACCCAAATTCAGGCAAATGCCAACTGCCAACCAAAAACAACCCTAAGTCAAAATAATCCATCAAACAATTTACAACAAAATGTACAAAGACCAAAAACACCCTAAACAATAAAAACCGTTAAGTTAGTTAAAAGGGAAAAAATGTGAAACACATCAAGAGAGATAGAGAAAGACTCATTAATAATTTATGATCCATGAATACATTGCAAAGATCATCCGTTTCATTCCGGAGACAAGGCTCTTCCGGCCGGATTTGGCACGACCCTCTTCAACCACACGAGACGTCAAAGTCTGGTGGCCTGAAGGCCGCCATAGCCTTTGAGAAAAGTCATCAAGATAACTTCGAGCATGAACGTATTGCCAATCCTCAACTACCCATCTCGGTGCATCATTTGGATCCGGCCCCATCTCCTAAATCCGAAAGTAAGGTCCAAAAATGCTCTTTCTCATCCATTTTCCGGCGATGCCTGGGCTTTCCTGCCTAGACTCAATTCAATTGTATTCTTCTCCATTTTCTGTCCATACTTCTTTTTCTTTCCTCTGTTTCCATTTTCTAATTTCTTTGTTTCCCGTGGACATTCATGCTCTTCAATAACACCATACATATATGTTTTGTTATCATTTGCAGATAATTCATGGTTACTAGTTGTTATTATTCCTCCTATTCTCTTTGCCCTCCATAATACTTTTGATATAGGTTTTAAATAATACTATCAAAATACGTATACAGTCATATATTAGGTGATATCAAATAATAATAACATTTAAGTTCATGGTAATAAAACTTGAGAAGTCAAACATTATCCTTTAGAATTTTCTTTATTATGATTGAGATGTAAAATATAGATAAATTGTTTTCCATTTTCCATTTCCTTTTTTCATTTTTATTTTTATTTGTTTTAGATTTTGGAAATGAAAACTTAATTTGTATAATGTTTTCATTTCAAACAAATGAAGTGGATTCCAAAATAAATTTTTAAAAACGAAAAAAGTATTTCTACTTGTTTTCAAAACAAGTCTTCATTCTCCCCGGCCACCACCTTCCGGTGACTCTTCGAAGACTAGCCGGTCACCACCATGACCTCCCATCTACCTTTTGGTTGGTGGCCTCCGGCCACCCCATACCCTCTAGCAACACTCCAATCACCAACTCAAATGGCCACCTCTGGCCATCCCGCCAGCAACTGCCAATCACCACATTCATCCAACCTTCATTGTTGACCACAACTCACCAATAATGTTTCTCTGTTTTGTTTTCAAAACATTTTTGTACACCAAAGAAAAAAAATTATTTTTATTTTTTACAAAAATAAAAACTTGTTTTCTTCTTTTTTGTAAACAGAAACAAAAATCTAACAATGTCAACAAATTACCAGACTTTTTAAATTCAATGTAAGCTCCTATTGGTTTGTTCTCAATTGCTTTGGGCAACTTCTAATCATGCCAACAATCAATAGTCTCAGTGAAAGGATTATTCACAATGAGGCTTTCAAAATCTCCACGTTAGTTTATAGTAATACGTTTTCCCCAATATAAGTTACGAGTCTGATTTAAAATAAAAATTTAGTAGCCATTTTATGACCGTTGATCAAAATAGTCATTAAAAACAAGACTTGGACCAATCTCAATCACTGAATATAGTAGTAATTCTAATCATATCCTTGTATGCGACTGCAAAAAATATTCAAGAAATTATTGTTTTTATTAAATGTTTTATTTCCTCAAAGGTTTAAAACTGTACACTCATGTAAGCATCTATGTAAATTGAATACAGATGCTCATAGTGAAATTCAGAGATTACATGACGGCGTTTAAAGACCTATAAAAACAGGTGCAATGAACGCCAACAATTAAATTAAAAGAACGTCTCTTCATTATTTCTCGTCTGCTAAATACCTTCCGGTTTTGATGGGTATACAGAGCTGTCCAGACTTAAAATTCCAGTTGGTTGTAATTATTAAAGTCGATTTCCTTCAACCTTAAACAACATAACAAATGCTCCGGCAAGTCCTCTGCCTTGTTTCCCTGTTTCAAATTCATAAAAGTAATGTCATTATGTATGTCGGGTTCGTCTGGAAGTAGTACTGAAACTAGCATTGATTAGGATCTTGTTGAAGATTTTAGTTTACCTGTATTGTCAGGCCAAAATCCAAGATGCAGTGCTTCAATCTGTCTTGAAATGCTTCAAAACCCTTTCTAGGGATATAGCTGAACCTGTGCATATCCAAATCAATCTCGAAGTAGTTTTCTCCCTGTAAGAGTATTTAGAGAGAGATACGTGTTAGCAGTATAATTAGAAATTTTCAAGAGAGAGAGAAGAGAGAGACTATTTTTCCTACTTGAGTAATGAAAATTGCAGCACTTCATATTGAACCCTTTAATCGTGCATGAATGGTCATTAAAAGGACAATGAGATTGAGATGACGCAATGAGATGATTTTGTTGGGTAGTGTGGATGTTGCTAATTTGGATTACGAGTAAGGATATTTTTTATATTTCTGCACTATATCCATAGTTGAAGGAAAGCGACTATCTTTGTAATATTTTGTAACTTTTATGATTATAGTAAAAACCGCAGAAGCTATGGCCGTAGCCCTAGTTTGAGGTGAACCACGTAAATCTTGTGTTCTTCGTGTATGCATGTGGTTTATCTTTCTTGTGCGTTTGTTAATTTTTGTGTTGTGTTTCATTGATCCTAATTAGCCGTTACGGATTCCTAACAAATTTTTGGTCCATCTGTAAGCAGATGCAAAACCTTTGTGCGATCACATGGACTGTTGCTCTAAAGAAAGAAGTCACTCTTTCATTGATGAATGATTTTTTTCTTCATATCTTTTTTTTAACAGCATTCATATTAGGAGATAAATAAAGCTACTAAATAAGAAAAATGAACTTCAGAAATACCAAAAAAGTTAAACTTAGTAATCATGTAAATGGAAGAGATTTAAGTACATTAAAATATAACAAAATCCAATGGCATTGAAAGTATTTGAGAAGTCTTAACAAAAATTTACCAAGTAAAATTCATGTTGAGGACGTGAGAGAACGGGCTTTTCATTGTAAGCATTCATAAGCTTCCTCTCGGGTGCACTTAAATGAAGATCCTCCAGGTTTGTCACTCGACCCAAGATCTTCAATCTTTCCCTGAAGGGTGCATTTGAATCTACAGGAAAACCTCTCACCCTCTCTACTTCATCATTAATTAACCTCTGTCACAGAAAAAAAAGTACACACAGATAATCAGGAAATTTTGTAACAAGTAATATGCATAAACAGGATAGCTTAATTTCAGAAAACAGAGAGTTTAATGGTCCACAGAATAAGATATAAATTGAAAGATTTTTTTTTTTTTTTTCTATTTTCAAGAACAATCCTTTTGGAAACATGAAGGTGGAGGGGAAAAAAAATCAATCTTACCCTGATATTGTCTTGGAAATGAAGTGGAAGTTCTTTTGAATAATTTTCAGACAGCTTGAAGTAGAAAACAAAACTCATTCCTTCTCCGTCGTATTCATTTTGGAAGATTGTTGCAGGATACAGCGGTATCTGAGAGAGAGAGAGAGAGAGTCATGTTATTAATGAAAAAACCCAAAATACAATCCGTTTTCCCTTTCCTACTGGACCAATTGTCCTCGTGCACAACAAAAGTTTAGAGACCGATTCTTTCGAATCTTGCCACAAGCAATCAAGATAGCGTGATAGAGCCAAGCAGGATAGATTAGCTCGATGGGATATTTTAACATTCACAAGTTTGACCAAACACAGCATCAAAAGAGCATAGGGAGTGAATATGAAAAGTAGATTACCTGTAGATTAACAAGAAGAATAGAAGGGACTTCTCCAGATGAACTTATGTCAGGAAGTTCCACAAAACGAGCAATATGGTCAATTTTCCGTGGTGATAAGAATACGTCAACACCAAAAGGACAAAATGCAGCAGAGTTTGGAGCAGAATATTTCTTTTTATCCCTGCCAAACAAATCAGAGCACTGGAACATTGAGTTCAGGTTGATAGAAGTACACTTGGGTTGCAATTCCAACCAATTAAATTAGGTTCAATTTTAAAGTTTTTGGATGCTCTCTGGATAATTTTTGATAAGCATGATAGCATAAAAGAGATTAAATGAAAAAAGGAAAGCAGTGAATTAACACATCTACAAAATGTTAGCACGCCATCAATACAAAATATATACCAATTGAATACTTCACTCTCACCTAAGATAGTTCTGTCCCCGGACTTTAAAGATACTTGGCTCAATCGGTGACCAACAATCAGACATTATCTTCTCTAGTGGACAGTATGGAACTTGGGAACCTGCATTCGGTCTTCTAAGAAATGCCTTCGGCGACACTGAGACGGAAAATGAAACATGTATATAAGTAGCTTGTTTTATGCCATATCTTCTACATAATAACAATATAACTCAAGAAAAAGTACCCCAAAAAAAGCATAACAAGAAGTTGCATAAATCATAGGAAATCATCGCCTTGCACAATTTGTTACTTTGTGTATCAACTGAACACAGATACATCCCAGTCACAGCATAAAGCCAGTGATTTTTCTTGGATAGGAGCAACAATTGTAAAACACAAAACCACTGCAACAAGAATAGCCACTAACACAACACTGAGGTGCATTTCCATTGATATTCAATTTGTGAAAGTTCATAAGTGGTGAAAAGTTTGATTGCAAAACCTTCTACCACATTTGATTAAGCAAACATCTAACTTCCATCCCTAACACTTTTGCACAACACACACATCAACTGAAAAGACTCGCGTGCACTTTAATTTGAAAAGGTTCTCATATGTTCTCACTCTCATGTCATTTCACTAATTTCTTTGAAAACATGTTATCCTAAGTTTTATGTTTTAAAAGGCTTTTCTTAATTTAACTATGGTCAATGGCTTTATTGTCCAAGGAACAAATTACAAATGAAGCGTTATAAATTTAACTACAATTCTACACTATCAAGAATGCTCACTCAGATACTACAGATATTAAAAAGGCTCGGTAAAAGGACACAACCACCCTTAAATTCCTTTCAAGGTCAAGAAACTGGATAGGAAAACAAGAATCAGAGATCATAAGAATAGACATACATGAAAGGATAGACAAATATGAACAAGCTCTTAAAAAATGGAAAGGAGTGGATGACACTTACATACTGTAGGATTAGCTTGTTCATCCCTCTCGTCCCTCCATTTAAAGGAGAATTTTAATGCCGCTTTCTTCCTTGTACTTAGCGGGATGGGGCTTTGGGGTCTTCTTTTTTCATCCGAGGGGACAGCAGAAGCAAGACAAGGTAAACATGTATTGGGAAGAAGTCCGCAATTGTGCAACACCCTTGTTTCGTCATGTTTGTCACTTCCATCTTCATCCAAGAAGACAGGGGTCTTCATCTCATCTTGAGAATCATCATTTTTCAATTGAGGATTGACATCTTTTGGATGCAAATTAAGGTGTTTTTCATTTCCTAGTGATGTTGCATTTGGTTTTGGTTGCTGGTCAGATAGGATCTTGGAGGAATTAACACTGTTAAAATTGACTTGGCTTGAAAATCTCGGAGATTGAATAGCTGATATGGATTCAACGTCAGAGCCACGATGAGATGGAAAATCTGCAAATGCTGGAATCATGCATGACACAAAATTAGAAATACTGGTTGGGTAAATTAAATACCTCAATAATGTAAAAATAAAGAAGTAATTATGGTTGTTTGATTGGAGTCCAAACCACGTACCATCTTGAACACTATGGAAATCATCATCGCAGTCAGACTCGATTGCGGTTGCAGAGTCAAACCATGGCTCTGCATTTGCCGTTGATGCTATTGGAAATTTAAACAAAAATCAGCTCAATGTATTAAAGAAAAAATTCAAGCAAATTGAAGTTGAAATTGATTGCTCAATAAATATGCAGATCCATGGAGAAGAAAAGTTCAAACTACTTATAACCATTATTTACCAAAATGGGACTAACAAAGTCCTGTTTGCTATGCTTTCAAATTTTTCATTTTTGTTTTCTGCCTTCATTTCGTGTTTTTGGATAACAAAAACACCAAAAAGCTCAGAAACAACCATGATTTTCATTTGTGTACCAAAATAGAATTGAAAAATCAGGGAAAAAACTGTTTTTGAGATTTTTTATTTTGGTAATTTTTTTTTGTCTTACTCTGAATTTTTTTTCTTTCTTTCCTGAAAACAGCTTTAGAAACAGATTACCAAATAAGTTTTCCTTATCATTTTACATATTTTTCTATTTTCGATAACAGAAAATAGAAAATATAAACAACACCAAACGCGCCTTTAGTTTTTGATCATGGTGTTCATCTAACAATTTATATCACTACATAATTCATAATAAACACTATCATATTTTCAGCACAAAATTTTTTATAGGTGATACACATCCAAATAGACATAATTGATAAAAAATAAAAAATAAAAAACAACAACAAAAAGTACTGAAAAAATGCCAATAATTGAAAATCAAGCACCAACAAATTCATAAACATATAGGTCATTTAGCAATTTGCAATTTTCAAAGGAAGAGAGAGAGAGAGAGAGAGAGAGAGAGAGAAGAAATTGGAACAAACCTTGGAATGTTGGATTGCAATAAGAAGAACGATCGGGTGGAGCGGATGGATCGATCGCGTTGACAGATAAAGAATGGTTCTTCTGATTAGTTCTTCTTCTTCGTTTTGGTTTGCGATTCCTCTTTCCAAAACACAATCCAGCTGGTTTAGACCCACATATCCCCATTCTAGAAAAGTTTGTTCCGATCAAAGCTTTTTGGTCTTTTTTTCTCTCTCTCTCTATTCTTCTTCTTCTTCTGCTGTATGTAAATAGTAGAGAGCGAGAGAGAGAGAGACAGAGACAGAGTTGAGGAAGAAAACTTTACTCTCTGAAGTACAATTACAATTACAATGGAGATGTGATTATTCGCAATCGGAAATCCAACGCCAACTCCTCTGGAAACTTTCTTTCTTTCTTTCTTTATTGGGTAAATTACATTTACCTGACCTGAGGTTTCTGACAAATACAGGGGCCTCTTCTGTGGTTTGAATAATTACAGTAACCTCTCTTACTTTATCTGACAATGTCAAGATTTTTCCATTCTGTCTATTTTGCACAAACTCTACTATTTACATACAGCAGAAGAAGAAGAATAGAGAGAGAGAGAGACAGAGTTGAGGAAGAAAACTTTACTCTCTGAAGTACAATTACAATTACAATAGAGATGTGATTATTCGCAATCGGAAATCCAACGCCAACTCCTCTGGAAACTTTCTTTCTTTCTTTCTTTATTGGGTAAATTACATTTACCTGACCTGAGGTTTCTGACAAATACAGGGGCCTCTTCTGTGGTTTGAATAATTACAGTAACCTCTCTTACTTTATCTGACAATGTCAAGATTTTTCCATTCTGTCTATTTTGCACAAACGACGTTAGTATTTTATATAAAATGACCATATTACCCTTGCTTTTGCCTGCAAAAAGACGAAAAACTCTTTTCTTCGAGATGAACATCACTGCCATAAGGTAAAGACGAGAAAACCCTTTGCTTTGACCAACACAACCATAAAATAAAATAATTTAAAAATATTTATATTAAAAATGACACATTTAAAATAAAAAATAATTTTTTAAAAAATTTTAATATTTAAAAAATATATTTAAAATATTAAAAAATACAACACATAAATGTATGAAATATAATGCACATTAAAATAAATAAAAAATATTTAAAATATAAAATATTTACCCTAAAAAAATAAATTTGAAAAATTTCAAAACTTATAACAAAATAAATTTTTTCTTTTCAAAAGTCATAACTCAAAATACAACTCCACACTCAAATCATGACTCTAAAAATAATTTTAAAAAATAAAATATATATATATATATATTTAAAAAAATAAAGTTGTGGTTTTGAGTTTTGAAAATAGTTTTGAATTGAATTTTGAATTGTGTATTTAGTTATGAGTTTTGAAATTAATTTTTGAATTGAGTCTTGAGTAATTTTGAATTATAGGTTGTGATAGTCATCAACATGAACAGTTTGTAGTGTCCTAAATATAGGATGCTGTGGAGTATCATATCGGCCATTACACAAATCAAGCCCTCCAAGAAAAGCTATAATTCTTCTTTTATTTTCACCAGCATCAGCATCCACAATAACAGTTTTCTGATGGTGTGTATAGATTGTTCCAACTTCCTGATAATAAAATAGTAAGAAAATGAAGTTCAATCTATAATATTCTCACCAAATATATATAAGCAGGTACAAAGTTTTCCAACAATCTAATTAGCATAATTCAACAATTTTACACCCAAAGGAACTTAAAGATACAGGGTAAGAAGGTTGGGAAAAATTGCAAATATTGTTCACATCATGCACTACTCCCAGTTCACGCTTTTTTAACTGCTAGATCACCAATTACTTGAAAAGCTTAAAATTTTACTCTGGTTCTATTGCTCTGTTTTTTTCATTTGACAGAACTAGAGTAAAATTTTACTCTGAATAAGAGTGAAATGTTATACTTTGAAACTAAAAGTAAAATTTTACTCTGTATAAAAGTAAAATTTTACTTTGAAAAACAAGTAAACTGTGAGACTCTGAAGCTAAAAGTAAAATTTTACTCTGTATAAAAGTAAAATTTTACTCTAGTTATGTCAAACAAAAAAAACAAAGCAATAGAACCAAAGTAAAATTTTACTCTGGTTCTATCAAATGAAATTAGATCATTCACAACCACTGTTCTTTTGTTTCTTCACAGTTACTTGCCTCTTTCGTATCACCTCTTTGTCTTCTCTGTTATCTATTACATATACACAATCCATATTGCTCACTCAGGACACAAAAATTTGTCAAAATCAAAAACAATTTTACAACAAAAAGTTGAGAGAACATAGTAACAACTCATTAATAGATCAATTTAAGAACTTAACAACACTATCCAAATGAAAAATCTCTCCCTCACACACACACACACACACACACACACACAAACACACACATATATATATATATATGAAAAATTTGAAGAACTGTGTTCAAATATGAAAATTTTGAACAGTCGCGCGATTCGTCTCTATACTCTTTCATAATTTGAATTTTTGATCGACGAGGCTATCATCAACGGCAAGAACATGAACTTCATGAGAATTGGAAGGCGATACGTCGACGTCGTCGAAGCTTTCTCCGATCATCTCCAACGATCTCTTCCACTACGAAACCTATGCGTCATTCAAAGAAAATTCTCTGCAACTGAGAGTGATTTAGGTATATTCACAGTTTTGGTTGAAATCATGAGAGCTTCGAACGAATCCAATCCAAACTCTAGGAATGGAAGAGAGGAGGAAAAGAGAGAATTTGTTTGTGCGTTTGCTTGGTTGAGGCTTCGATCATGTTCTACCGCCTTGAGGAAGACACCGGCGGCGGCGGCGTATGAACCGCCGGAGAATGATCGGAAAATTGAATCGGCGTAGGAGGAGATCGAAGAATGTTGAGAATCATAACAGAGAGCTCGTAAAAGAGCAGAGAAGGTGAGGAGAGAGTGGATGGAGAAGGTGAGGAAATTTAGTTGAGGGTATAATAGTCTAATAAAATATTTAAATAATAAATTTTGTCCTTTATGCAAAATTTTATAATTATGAGGGAGTTTAGAAAATATAATTTTTTTTCTTAGTCCTTTTAACAATGAAAGGAAGGTAAAGGGGGTTTATAGCTAAATTTCCCAATAGTCAAATAAGTAAAAAAAACCAACCCACTTCCCAAACGGAGGTTAAATGTATAAGAAACACGTAGAACTGAAATATCTAATATATCTCTTGTTTTTAACCCCAACTCATTAAATTCATTAGTTAAATATAGTGGGTATTTGGGAAGTGGATTTTTTTAGTTGTAAAATATTATTGGAGAAAAAAAATTTTGTGTTTGGGAAGATAGTTGAATTTTTTTGTGGTTAGATATGATGTTTGTAAAAAAAAAAAATAACATGATTATGGGGTTTGATGTGATATTTTGTTTGGATTTATTTTTTTTGATTTTGTAACCAATTTATCTTTTAGTAAAAAAAAAAACACCCAAAACTCAACTTCCCAAACAGCGCTATTCGGAAATGAATAAAGGTAGGGGTGAGCAACGGATATATCGATCCGCCAAAACCGACCGAACCGAACTGATCCGCCACATTTAGGACGGATGCGTGATAACGAGCGGACGGTTGTGGATTGATTTTCACTAATCCGCCAATCTGGCGGACGAATGACGAATTTGAGATTCCTTTGGCCGCAATCGAACCACCAAACCGCGAGCACCCCTAGTAATTTATAAAACTTTGTGTTTTCAGTTTATTTAAATATTCTGTTTGTGTTTTCAATTAAACAAAAGTTTAAATATTATGTTGAAAAAAATTTTCAAGTTGAATATCATTTGAAAATTGAAAAAAAAATAAACGTAATATTTATCTATATTTTTTTATTTTTAAATCTATCTCTAAAAATAATAAATAGAAAATATGATATATGCGGGTTGGTTTTTGTTTTCAAAAATAGATATAGATGTAATAATAGAAAGACATACAATCTCTACTTGTTCATGGTTATAGTGGTTTGAATTATTTTTATATTTTAAGAACTACAAATTGTAATACTTTATGTGGATGAAGCATGTTATAATTGTAGTATGTGGATGAGGCATGCAGTGATTGTGATATTCTAAGGTTTCAAACTTTCTTGTTTTGGATGAGGCATGCAGTGATTGTGATATTTTTTTAAGTCATTGATTGTAATACTTTTTTCTTCTTTTTTTGAGGAAGTGCACAAGTTGAATTATGTTGAAAATTTATAAAATTTTAAACCGCCAATCCGCTCAATCCACATCCGCTGGATTGGCGGGCGGGTGCGGGTTGATTTTTTTCCAAACCGCATAGATGCGGGCGGGTCAAAACTGAACCGTAAACCACACAAAACCAATCTACGAACACCCCCACTAAGTGGTAGGCTTGGGTTGTTCATAGTGGATTATGGCCTTTATGGGCCTACCCACGTCAATATCTATTGCAAAATAAGCGTGGACAATAGAAAATTATGTATCTCACTAATCCAATTAGATAACTAATCTTACACTAATTTCATAGATTTTTAATCCCCTCACTATTAATCATGCCAATCAGACATGTCTTAAAAGTCGCTGAACACCCGGATGTGGCTGACAC